TGTGCTATCTGCAGTCTGAAAACATTATTCTGAGTTTCTTCTTTATTCCATTTATCATCTTATATCTCTATAAGATCCCCTTTGAGACAACTCTTTTCAAGCCTGATGACTACTCAGACTAGACTAACAGCTGTAAATGCAAGTTAGCCTTTTTTATTTCTGGATGTCAACAAACCAAAGGGATGAAGATGAGATTTAGAGTAACTAGTTCCACAGATCATTGGTGCAGCTTTCAACCAGAATAAAGATAAATGTATAAACCTTTGTAGCCAGTTAGAAAAAATGACAAGTTGTAATCGATTCACCCACTCCTTTCAAACCATATACAAATTCAGATGTCAGGGTGTAATTTTTCAGATTTGTAAAAGATTTCTAAATAGCAGATGCTGCAGTGAATCAAACGCGCCTCAGGCCGAGTCTTTGGAACTTCACTCAAGATACGAATTGTAGTTTAAAATTCCAAAAATAAAAACTAAATGATTGCAGTCAAAGGAGGCTCGACACGCAATAGGAAATTCAAGCCCAAGGCAACGGAGTTCCATTGGGTCACCCAGAGATATTATCATAGTGGTCGGAGCAGTCGCCTCGCAAGCGACAGACCTGGGCTCGATTCCCGTCAGGGTGAAATGTTTGGCAAGTTTCCTTACTCCACATACCTCTGTTTACCTAGCAGTAAGCAGGAACCCGGTTGTCAGGCGATTGGCGGATCACTTTTCTGGGGGTAATTACTCCTTCAAAAAAAATTATAATAATAAATTGGAAACTCAATCCATGACTGCTTGTGGGACACTGCTGTGTGCAATTGGCTGCCGCGTTTCGCCCACAAAATATACAGTCAATTCCCTTTACAGTATTCTGTGAAGCGCTTTGAGACGACTCAAAGATGTGATAAGGCGCTATATCAAATGCAAGAATAATTATTATAATACCTTGGCCAATCCTGGTGTATCAGCTTGGCTCAATTGGTAGCACTCCTCACCTCAGAGCTGAAAGGTTGTGGGTTCAAGCCCCACATCAGCACTTGGAACTCATATAGTCTAAAATAGTATTTTTTATATATATATATGTGTGTATATATATATATATGCACACACATACATACACACACAATAATAATCCTTGCATTTGATATAGCACTTGTTCACATCTTCTAGATGTCTCAAAGCACTTCACAGGATATACTGTAAAGTGAATTGCCTGTATATTTGTGGGTGAAACGCGGCAGCCAATTGCGCACAGCAGTGTCCCACAAACAGTCGTGGATTGAGTGACCAAATTATTATTTTATTTTTCTTGAGGAATTATTATCAGGCGTATGGAGTAAGGAAACTTACCCAAGGTTTCACCCTGACGGAAATCGAATCCAGGTCTCTTGCCTGTGTAGCAAGTGCTCTAACCACTGAGCTACAGGACTCCATAAAATGACACTTCAATACAGTGTGGGGGCATGCTGCATTACTGGAGGTGTCATCCTTCAGAAGATGTTAAACAATGACCCATCAACCAGTTCAGGTGGACATTAAATATCCCATGGCACTATTCAAAAAGAAAACAGAGTTTCTTCTGGTGTCTAGGCTAACAATCCCTTGAATAAAATTGGTTATTCACTTCATGGCCATTTGTGGTGCATTCCTCTGCGAAGAATGTTGCCTCACTCACCCATAACACATATAGTCACTACCCTTTCTACTAAAATCCTATCGTTTCTCATTATGTAGGAAATATGATTAAACAGGAGGGCAAGAAAGGTGAATAAGGTGGCATAGTAATGCTAAAATATTGCCTCTTCCTCTTTGGGACTTTGATTGTCGTCAGGTCAGACTGAATGGATGTCCTTTCAACGTGAAAAGAATGTAAGAATTAAAACTATTTGTAGGACTTGCTATTTACAAATTCTGCTATGATATCATAAATACAGTAAAATCACACAAGTTGCATCAGTCGGGACCATAATATTTGATACAACTTGTGGGAAGTCTGAGTTACAGGCAAACTGTATAAATCATAAAATCCAATTTAATCAATAATCTATGCTGCACATGCGTTATTTATTGCAGCCTGTAAATGGACATGCAATGATGAATCAAGGCTACATTTCCCGCGATTCAATGAGTCTTGATCCATCCCTGCATGTGCACTTACATGTGGAGTCCTGTAGCTCAGTGGTTAGAGCACTCGCTTTGCAAGCGAGAGACCCGAGTTCAATTCTATGCAGGGCGAAACCTTGGGCAAGTTTCCTTACTCCACACGCCTAATAATAATCCCTCCAAAACCAAAAACAATAATAAATTGGTCATTTTCAATCTACGACTGTTTGTGGGACATTGCTGCCGCGTTCGCCCACAAATATACAGTCAATTCACTTTACAGTGTGTTCTGTGAAGCACTTTGGGACGTCCTCCCGACGTGAAAAGCGCTATATCAAATGCAAGGATTATTATTATTACCAGCAAGCGTTGGAATCGCAGGAAATGAAGTTCTTCTGCATGTGCATCGACGGATCGAGACTAAGTTTCCCATGACATAATGCAGCTGGCCTGTGTATGGCTCAGGACGGCACATACAGTCAATACACTTTGCAGTATATTCTGTGGAGTGCTTTTGAGACACCTCGAAATGTGATAAGGCGCTATACCAAATGCAAAGATTATTATTATTATTTCCCGGGATTCAAAGTAGCTGGTAAATGGAGGGTAGAAGAGCGACGTTACAAATTAGATGAATAATATGAGTACTACAAAAAAAGTGTGTAAGTGTACAACTTAGGCAATGATGATTTATAATAAGATTTATGCGACTTTACTGTATTAAAACATTATTTGTTGCATGGTTCCATCTATACACAGTCAACCCATTTCACAATATATTCTGTGAAGCACTTTGAGACGTATCAATGACATAAGGCAATACATCAAATGCAAGGATTATTACAAATCAATGACCCAAAGAGGAAGAGGCAATATTTTAGCGTTACTATGCCACCTAATTCACCTTTCTTGCCCTCCCATTTAATCATATTTCCTACATAATGAGACACAATAGGGCAGATGTGTAATTCATCCAGTGACAAGTTTAGACAAATTCTGAATGCAGGATTTAGTCTACAGTGAGGCCATATTTAATCAAATTCCAGGTTCAATTTCGAGTATAAACCATGTGTACCAAAATCACTCTACAGTTACCGACCATTTTGATTTCTATATAAATGCTACATCTTGGAATATGTAATTATTGATCTAAAGACGTTCTGATGTTGAAATCTTCCAAGTTTTAAGTACAGATTTCAAGAACTTCAGAGACAGAAGTCAGAGAAAAATATGTACTTCTACATATGGTGCCCAAATGCTTGAGATTTTTAACCTGTCCCATTAATTTTACCTTCAAAATATAAACTAAACAATCTTGATAGAACAATTTTATTCATTATTTCACTGTCGTTAATGGATCATAATTCCAGAATGGTCCATGAAGTCAAATCACAGAACAATAATTGAGTAACGTAGTTTATAACCTGCATCTGAATGCCAAGATGGACTTATTGATTTGTAATGCACTCACTGGTTTTATTGTTCGAGAATATAAACTACATTGGAAGTAAAGTTTTAACAGTAATAGAGCAATCTTGTTGTTGGCCAAAACAAAAATCACTTGGATGTGCATTTCAACAACAATGGTGTTGAGGTAGAGATGGTGGCAGAATTAGTCCAGCATGACTACTTTGGCCGAATGTTTCCATGCTGCGGTCAGAGATCAGATGAAGGCTTAAAGGAGAGGTCAATACCGAAGAGCAGAGATTTTGTATTGGCTCATGAGCTGGAGTGCCAGATCTTTTAATCCCGATCTTTTATTTACAATTTTGAAACAGGAAGAATTGGCAAGGATATGGGGAAAGAGTGAAGCAGTGGGACTGATTGGGTAGCTCTTCCAAAGAGCCAGCACAGGCACAAGCAGGAGGGGGGTGAGGAGCAGAGGAGGGGGGTGATGAATGATCGAGTCAAATTTAGATCAGCATGAGAACTTACTGAATTTGACAAAAAAACGTTTTGTTTGTTTGTTGAAAAACATACCGCAGGTAGTATTTGTTTACTAAATCAAAGAGTAATGAAGTATTAAAAATCAGCAATTTATAGTATTACACAATCCATTTCCAGTTGAATTACTGCACAGATGAGGCTAAAGTGAGAGTCTCTGCAAGATTCCCTCAAATCGTTACAGAATTCTACAATAAAATGGGGAGAAGTACATAAGTGGGATACTTCTCCCAATAACCTTAGTCTATATGCACACCGCATTGATGTAATTACTGTGATCAGTAAAAATAAAAAGAAAAGTTTGTGTTATAGACACACGCAGGTAGGTGGAAGGAAAATTAGAAATTAGAAAGTTCAGAGTTTTGATAAACGTTCAATGTACTGGTAGCGGCCAGTGGTTTGTCTTTTTTTTAAAAAAAAAGTCACGCTCTACCCATCTACCCGCTATTAAAAAAAGAGCCACTTAGTCTTAAATATTTGATGCATCTTTATTTTAATTATTGTTTCATTGTTTGGTTGCCAAAAGCATACTGCAGATAAGTGAAAAACTGTACAGGGAAGCAAGTTGGCAACAAGATGAGAGCAGCAACATTTTCATTCCACGTGCCAGCTTGTACCAACGCCCAATAACAAACGGGTGGTTTCACGCATATTCCTTTATCAATTGACTAATCCACCCATTCCCAAACTGAATGAATTTCTAAGATTGGCAGTATACAAACATCAGTTGTTTTTAATTATTTTTTGTTTGAATATTTCTTAATTTATGGCTGCACCATAAACTTTGCTACACAGAAGCAACGGGAAACAAAACATTGATTTAAAACAGACTCATCTAGACTAGTGTGAATGTTCAGTGGGCCACTTCTTGATGGCCCAGCGGGCCACAAGTTAGTCGCCACTGGACTAAGGTAGAGAAAGAACCTCAAACATGACAGGACTGCTCAGATAGTTACAAAAATACTGTACCATTTATTACAGGATCCCCGATGATTCAGTTGGTTTCTAGTTGAGCACTCATTATGAAAAATGGCCATCCTGGCCAAGGTACTGTTGAGTCACCATGCATCTTGGGACCTTGCCTACAGGAGGCGAGATTAAGGACAAAACTTGGAAAGAGGGGAAAAAGAAAAAAATCAAGCAGCCATCTGAATTAATTGTTGAGAGAGTGCTTAATCTGAATTGACAATTTCAATCATTTGTGGAAACTGGCAAAATATTGCAAAACAGTTGAGGTAATCACAGAAAATTACCCAGTGACGCAGTTCAGGCTAATGAAGTAGTCTTTCACCATTTTTAGATTTGCAATATGTCCATGAAAAGATTATCAACGCAATTTATTCCTGACGTGGCATGTCAAGTCAATTCAAGTTGTGGTTTAGAAACGTATTGTAGGGCATTGTGAAATAAGATCACTTCAACTGCTTTACACAAGACTTACAGATATATTCGGCTTTATTGAAACTCAAGAGCACATAACTCTCAGGATCACAGATACAAAACATACATTTTCTAAATCTTTCATGAATTCAGCCAGAAAAGGGGGGGGGTAAAAAAAAAATCGAATAATAGACACTAGAGACTAAAGTGAATTTCTTTGCATTCATTGGGACTAACAGTTTGCTAACATTGGATAGCAAGATTCAGAAAACAGCAAATTACAAATGCCAAACTAGTAAAGTCCAGGAAATAGTATTTTGCTCATGAGCCATTTCCTTCTTCCCTCCATTAATCCCTGAATTTTACGAATCCTGCATTCACTTTTTATTCATATGATAACCACCATTATTCTTAATTCTCTTCAACATTACTGATCCAATTCAGTTTTAAAAAGGTGTCAATTGAAACAGAATCAACTACTTTTCCTGAGAATGTGTTCCACCTACTTATACCACTGAAAAAGCTGCTAAGCTTTTTCCATTTTTGATCTCCAGTCTTCTGCTACACTCACTGCACATCACAGTTGTGATCTCGCTTCACCAGTAACATTCTATAGATTATTATAAACATGTTCCGACTTGTAGACTAACATCTCCAGTTATTTCCCAGTACTTGATTTATTTACCCATTGACAACTGCCCCAGGCTACAATCTGTGATCACACCCAAATCGTTTTTCGCCAATTCTTTCCTCATACAGTTCTGGAAAGCACTTTGAGATGTCTTACTGACATGAAAGGCGCTATATAAATGCAGCATTGTTGCCTATATGCATGAACTTAAATTTAATAAATCTTGTGAAGCGCTTCCAGACTTCCTCCAGATGTGAATGCACTATATCAAATGCAAACATTATTATCTGATATTTCAGATAGTCGATATTTCCCAGTTTATTCACTTACTTGGTCCAATTCCGTCCGATTATTATCAATCCCTTTTCCATTTGTAATAAGATTGCTTCTCTGGGCATCAGCTGTAATGTTATAATACCACAAGCCTACAAATGCAATCATTACTACAATTTTCAAAAAANCTATAAAATGTATCTATTTGATAAGACAATAAGTCAAATGAAATAAATACTAGAGGACCCAAAACTCTAAGGCAGTCTTTTGCCCTCTGAGCCTTTCTCTCCATCTCCTTTTGAAAAGGAAATTTTCAATCCGTCATCTCCTGCATGAATAACTGGCTTTAAAAGCCTTACATGATGAACTTCTCAAAACCTTCTGAAAATTCAGTTAACAACCCAGTGGCTCCCATCCATTTTCTTTTTGTAAAATACCACTTGATTAAAACATAATAATTCTTGTATACAATATAGTGTTTGGTCCTCTTGGTCCTACCCTCCTCTTCAATACCTATATGTTCCCCCTCGTGACAGCATCCGCAGACATGGGGTCAACTTCCGTATGTATGCAGATGACACCCAACTCTAACTCTCTGCCTCCACCCTCAACTCCAGGACCACTGCTGTCCTGACAGAATGCCTGTCGGACATCAAGTTCTGGATTAGAGTAAATTTCCTACAGTTCAATGTGAACAAGACCGAGGCCCTCCTGATTGGCTCGCGCCAGCGCCTCAGCACCTCAGGCTCTGTCAGCATCAACCACCATGTTGCACACTTCAACTCACCAAGCCAGTCAGGAACTTTGGTGTCTTGTTTGACCCTCAACTGTCTTTTCTTCCCCACATCCAAGCCATGACCCACTCTGCCTTCCCTCACCTCCGTAACATCGCCCGACTCCGCCACTACCTCACCCCCCACGCCGCTGAAACTCTTGTTCATGCCTTCATCATCTCCAGGCCCTGCTTGTCGGCCTTCCCAACTCCTCCCTCCACAGGCTGCAGATAATCCAGAACTCTGCAGCCCATGTCCTTTCCCGCACCAAACTCCTTGACCCTATCTCCTCCATTCTTGTGGATTCCTGTAGCTCAGTGGTTAGAGCACTCACTTTGCAAGTGAGAGACCTGAGTTCAATTCCAGGCAGAGGGCGAAACCTTGGGCAAGTTTCCTTACTCCACACAGAGCCTAATAATAATCCCTCCAAAACCCAAAACAATAATAAATTGGTCATTTTCAATCTACGACTGTATGTGGGACATTGCTGCGCGCAATTGGCTGCCGCGTTCGCCCACAAATATACAGTTAATTCACTTTACAGTGTGTTCTGTGAAGCGCTTTGGGATGTCCTCCCGACGTGAAAAGCGCTATATCAAATGCAAGGATTATTATTATTATTATTCTCGCCCACTCCATTGGCTCCCTATCCTTCAGAGGATCCAGTTCAAGATCCAGGTCCTCACCTACAAAGCCCTCCATGGCCTCGCCCCACCCTACCTCTGCGACCTCCTAACCCCCTACCAACCCGCCTGTTCCCTCCGCTCAGCCAGCTCCAGATACCGCAACCCAACCGCCCCACCATTGGCGGGAGAGCCTTCAGCCACTCTGCCCCAACCTCTGGAATTCCATCCCCTAATCACTCCCCCTCGCCCCTCCTTAGCCTCCTTCAAGTTCCGCCTCAAAACCCTTCTCTTCGACCATGCCATCAGGCACCCCCCTTCCCCTCCCCTCCCTGACCCCAGCTCAGGTCTGAAATGTTGTACACTGTTCAGTGCCTTGGGAAGTCCTCCTGATATGAAAGGCGCTATACAAATGTAATCCTGTTGTTGTATATTTTGTGAGTGAAACACGGCAGCTAATTGTGCACAGCAGTGTCCCACAAACAGTTGTGGATTGAGTGACCAAATCATTATTCATAATATTAACTTATTTATTTGTAAGGGATTATTACCCCCGGAAAAGAGATCCACCAATCGACTAACAATCGGATTCATACTCACTGCTTAGGTAAACAGGTGTGTGGAGTAAGGAAACTTGCCCAATGTTTCACCCTGCCTGGGAACTGAACTCAGGTCTTCTCGCTTGAGAGGACAGTGCTGCAACCACTAAGCTGCAGGACTCCAATTTTACATTGCATTGCTTCCAAAACTTAGCTGACAGTTCCTGAAGTCAGCGTTCTGTAAATAATCACTGGGAACTTCTCAAATATTACATTTTAGACTATGGAATTGAGACTAACTGACCAGTAATTACTAGATAAATTACACGGTAATTTATATCCAACTCAGTTTTTGAATATTGGACATTCCAGGACTATTCACCACACGTGGTGCAATACTTCTATAAATAATCAGGCATCATTAATTTCCTCTTCCAATTCCTTAAAGATTCTAGGAGATATACCACCTGGCCCAAGTGCCTTGTTGACATTTAATCCATAACATTTCTGCATAACACATGCTTTCACACACGTTTCACAGGAGATAATGGATTTATAATATAATAATCCTTGCATTTGATATAGCGCTTTTCACGTCTTCTAGATTTCTCAAAGCGTTTCACAGAAAATGCTGAATATTGACTGTATATTTGTGGGCGAAATGCCGCAGCCAATTGCGCACAGCAGTGTCCCACAAACAGTCGTGGATTGAAAATGACCAATTTACTTTTGTTTTGTAGGTATTATTATTAGGCGTGTGGAGTAAGGAAACTTGCCCAAGGTTTCGCCCTGCCTGGAATTGAACCCAGGACTCTACAGAACCATCAGGAGAACTGTGTTAAAAATTTCCAGTTTGGTGAAAAAAGAATAAGTTGCGGATTATGCAAACACTGTATCCTGTCTGACCATCACAAACCAACTCCTCTGCCCACCCTCTCACGCCTCACACCCATCCTCACCTCAAATGCAAACTGCGAGGCAATGCTGGACTTCCTCAAATCCAAAGTCAAGGGAATCCACTCAGCTGCCTCTGCTACTGCAACAGCTGCCCCCACCCCATCTCCTCCTCCTCCCACCCCAGCCCCTATCCACCCCTCCCTGCACACCTTTGAACCCGTCTCCCCCTCCTTTCTCATTACTACCATAATCCGCATGAAACCCACCACCTGCTCCCTCGACCCCATCCCTATCCCCTTATTACCGACCAGCTCCACCTCCTTGCCCCTCTACTCACTAACATTGTTAACCTCTCCCTGTCCTCTGGTACTGTTCCCACCCCTTTAAAAACCACTGTCATCAGTTCTATCCTTACAAAACTCTCCCTGGACCCTTCTCTACTCCCTAACTACGCCCACTTCCAACCTCCCCTTCCTCTCCAAGGTCCTGGAACGAGTTGTTACTTCTCAGCTTCGCTCCTTCCTCTCCCACCACTCCCTTCTCAAACCCCTCCACTCGGGTTTCCGTGCCGTGCCGCCCACTGCACAAAAACAGCCCTGGTCAAAGTGACAAATGACATTCTGGCCAGGGCTCCCTCTGCCTCCTCGTCCTCCTTGACCTCTCTGCTGCTTTCGACACCATCGACCACTCTATCCTCATCCACCGCCTCTCTTCTCACCTCAACTTCCATGGTGCTGCCCTCAATTGGTTCAGATCGTACCTCTCACACCGCTTGCACTTCAACTCCTCAAACGGCTTCTCCTCTAGCCCCTGCACCGTCGCGTGCCGCATTCCTCAGGGCTCAGTCTTTGGTCCCCTCCTTTTCAATAACAATATGCTCCCCTTGATGACATCATCTGCAAACATGGAGTCAACTTCCACATGTATGCAGATGACATCCAACTCTAACTTTCTGCCTCCACCCTCGACTCCAGGACCACTGCTATACTAACA